AAGGATTTATTAACAATATGATTATGTAAAAAACAAGCTTTAATTTATATAAGAAAGAAAATCTTATTTCTATTTATAACAAAATTACAGTAAGAAGAACAAGCTGAAACTTTTCTTCCTTACGATGATCATTTTTTTGAGTTAGCTGACATTACAGATTCATCTATGACATTAAATTATCATAAAATTACAAAAAAAATTATAAATTGATCAAATTCAACTAAATCTAAAACACTGATAAGCACATTGACATTTATTTATCTCTTAGATTCAATTTATTTGCGTTGATTTAGTAAGATACAAAATATTTTAACAGTTTTATAATTTCTAACTTACACGATTTGTTTAAAATCCAAGTTAGATTGGTGAAATTACTCTTTTGTTTCATAATGTGTATAAAAAATTCCAATCAAAAAGCTTTGTAATATACTATCGTTATTCTACGTTCCTGGTTTTAGTCACACAGCTACTTTATTATTTAGCTAGTTTTCTAGTTTTCGAGACATACCAACTATGGTGTTGAACACCACTGGTACGATTTAGTAAAACATGCGATCTGATTAGACCGTCAGCAATAAATAGATTCACTCTTTAAGAAATTTATTGATTTTTTATTTTAGAGCTAGCATTCGCTCTTAAAAAGAAAAAAAAAATAAATAAAAGAAATTTTATTAATTTTTATTTTAGGACTAGCTTAGAATATATTAAGAAAAATAGTTAAATTTTAGACATCTATACATAAAATTTCACGCAGAACACTTTACTAAGAGCGGACATTTGTTTTTTTTCATTAATTTTATTAAAACAATCATTTTTATGTTCTTAAGTAAAAATATTTAGCTTACCATTTTTCGTATAGATGTATAAAATTTTAAGATTAATCAATCAAGTCGAAGCACGATAAATAAAAGTATCGATGAACATTCTAACTTTTAAATTTAGACAATACTAATTGAACTTGAATTTTTAATTGTAAATTTCTAATTTATAATTGTATGTTTGTTTAATAATAATAAAGAAAAATAACTAACTAAACCCGGTTGGTATACTGTATATCCGGGTATAAGAAAAAATACAACCTTTAAGGTTAGAATTAAAGGCGTGTTTATACGTAAAATTGGGCGTTGAACACTTTTACTAAAATATAACTACATATGGTTTTCTTAATAAAATTTTGAGATCTTAACGATTTTTTAATTTTTTCTTATATACTAATATATCCACCGGTTACAAATAGAAATTCCCTAGAATAAATTATATGCCGAAACTATTACTGTATTACGGCTTATTTAAACTAGTTACAACATAAGACATAATAACGTCGAAATAATTTCGGTTACACATATAGTCTTAATACAATTTCATAAGTGATTTTGGTGACTATTTTAGAGGAATTTGACAAATCTATTTGTAAAAAGGCGTAAGAATTAGATATATATTGGGAATAAAAAAATATATATATATTTGGCGGTGATAAATATTAGCGTTTAAAGAAGAAGACTTTACGTTCGATGACTTACTACTTTTAACCTTCAAAATCCTCATCATTCCACTCTTCATCTCTATAGACTTTTGTCTAAAATCGAAATATTTTCTCTTCCATCTAGTTTCTGTGTCCTCATTGTAATATCTTCGTTCCATGGTTTGTATTTGGCAATGTAATGAACGTTCTTAACATCTTTGTCCGACCACATCGGTGAATGGCATTCACGCATTGGTTTTAACGCATTATAAATATAAGGAAGTCCTACCCAATTGCCTTTGTATATTTCATTAAGTAGATCTTGTTCTGGAAATAATAATTTATCGGGGGTTTCGTGATTTATAAGACGGTTATGTATTTCATTATATTTTGATTTAGAAGGATGAAAAATTATCAATCCAGAATTAAAATAA